AAAGCTATTGAAGACGATGCCTGAATATTATACTCAAACTTCGAAACTTGGGAACTCTGTATTTCTGAACTAAAAGAGCAATTTCCGAACGCCGAATTTGAAGTTCCCGCGCGATCCGCGTCAGTGGAATGACGTCAAAGATTGAGTCGTTCTGCAACTCGTGATTCTCTCGCGCCTCCGTGTCGTGTTCCGCACACGTTCCGCGATCAACCCCTACGTGCATGCCGCCAATCGCTGTGAGCCGACGACGCTTCACTTTCGAGTTTAAGGCTCTTTTAGGGCTCTTTCAGCAATCTCAAAGTTTTTGGGACGGTGTGAGGTCTAAGAGAACGCGCTGTGGAATATTGTAAGCGATGTGAGGGGCAACGTCGCGCCGGTCTTTCGTAAAAGGCAGAACCGGTGCTGCGGCAAATTGAAGGAGATAGCAACCAGTCGGAAATTGACTTCAGGTAATGCAGTCCCAAGGGAAAAAGCGAGTTAATTTTCTATCTACGCTTGATTAAAACAACAAATATCGCAAATAACTTGTACGTGCTAGGTAGACTGGAATAATTGCCAGACAGGCAGATAAAACAATTGGTCAGTTACGAGTTTTATTTAAAATTCAGAGCATTAAAAGCGGTGTTCGAACGGCTTCGTAGGTGCATTTATGCGCTCTCAGACACTCGTAGCGTGAACACGAAGTTGGCGTTTCCAGCATGGGGGATATACGTGCCAAACGAACGAAGGACATATGAAAAACTATGAGAGACGGCTTGAACTGCGCAGTAAGACTGTGTTACTAATTCCGTATCCATGCATAATAAATTGAAAGTCACGTCCTATAAACTGATTTGCAAAAAATAAATACTGCTTTATTCTTTCAGCTCATGAATGTGTGCAAAGATGCTTATTCTGCTTTCAGCACATCACCCGCACTATCGATATCTTTGAAACTAGAAAAAAAAAACAGAGAACATGTGCCCGATATAATCTGGCCCGGTATAGGAAAAATAAAAGTACAATAACTTTCATAGCCCACATACTTTGAACGCACTCTACATTACTTTCGATTATTATTCTGCTTAGAGTCGTTGTTTATTTTTAGATATCTGCAATGAAACAAAGGTCTGGACCTTACATATAGCTAAAGCAATTACTCTTTCACAATGATAATAAAGCTAGCATACTATTAGGTTAGACACAAATAACAAAAGGTATCCATGCTATTTTGAAACGGAGAGACAAATTTGACGCTCGTTTTTCCTTTAGCAATGCACAGTAGCACCGCAAAAGCAAACTGGTTGACGTCTACCTCGATTTCCATCTCGGAAGTCGCATAGACACTAGCGCCAATGGAACGTTTAGCGTAGAGCATATATGTCTATAATGGAATTCGTACGTTTTAAAAGAAACCATCCAGATGGCGTTCCACCGTATACTCTATCATCTATGGAAAACACAGTTTTGAAACGAATCTTTAGATGGCGCTTTAAACGACGGAAGGCGAACTGAAGGGACTGAAGTGAACTGAAGTGAAGTGAAACGAGCTTGAGGTCCTTAGAGTGATAAACTGGCAGCTGGAGGTGACCCCAATTCGCCGACGCCATTTTGCACATTTTTGACCACTAGGCACGTAACCTTATCATTTGAAGTCTAGATTTCAGCGAAATACCGCCCACAAATAATTGCTTTTTCATCAGTACCGACGAGATACGTTATGGAACATAACGTTACATTCTGAAATGTGCTTTCACGACAAAAATTCCGGCAGCTTCGCAATGCCTTCGCTAGATGCCGTTAGCCGCGGTGCTGTATTTTGCGGTTTTATCGTAGCTAGGCACAGATCTCTAGGGCTAGGGGTATTGAAAAACTAGTTTATCACGTTTTTTACAGCGATCGCAATACAAATCTAGGCTCAGATTTGCGAAAAAGCCTGAGGATTTGTTACGGTCGCGTGTCCAGCGGCTAAAATTGTACAACATGGCGGCAGCCAAGAGAGGGTCCCTTTTGCCCGGTGAACGGGACACCAGTTTGTCGCTCTCAGCCCCTCTACCTCATTGGGTACCCCCTCCTCGGGAGTTCCACAACTGATGTGACCTACAACGTTGCCTATTCACGAATGCGCTGGTGTGACGTGTGAGACCGATCTAACTGAACGTTCCAGGCATGCGTGACTCAGCCGCAACTGTGCAGTTAAAGGGAAGTAGAGGAGGCATAGTGAGCTCAGAGAGCGCTCACGGCTGCCGCACTTTGAGCTAATGGCTCGCGAGGGCGCCACTTAAGGTTGGGCTGTAGTAGCGCATGATTCGCACTGAATTTGCTGCGCTACGCGTTTTGAAGTCGTCGTCGTCGGTGTTGCCGCCGTAGTCCGTTCCGTACTGCGCTTCATTTGACACAAGCGAGAGAAAACACAGGGGAACGATCTGAACGAACGCCAGTTTGCGCTGCCAAACCGCCAAGCCAATCTTGCTCGCCAAAGGCCCTCGAAACGCTTGGACTTTCCAGCCCATGCTACCGCAGCGCCAAGGCGTACATCCGGGTCCTTTCCACGCTCGAAGCTTTAAAGTAATGCATGGCACGTGTCAGCGCCTGATCGCAATACGCACCCTCTCGTTCACTGTATTGTAGTTCATAAAAGTGCAGTTCACGAGACACGTCATGCCGCCCCGTGTCCTGCTCCCGCAGAACCTCCGCGGGGTTGTGGCGCGTGCTCAGTTCCCAAAATGAATGGCAGCAGTGGAGCCGTAATGAAACTAGCTGTGAGATCGGTGTATTGACGCAATCATGGTTTTTCCGCTCGCACAGTGCCCCCATCGAGACTGGGTAAACACAAGTTTGTTCGTAAACCCCGTGTGCGATACTTGCAGGCTGGGTCGCTCCTACGTCCCAAAGGAGGACTAAAAAAGATGTGTGGCCAGCAGCAGCGCTGAACACAAGTGTCACGGCCGTTAGCGCCTCGTCTGCACCAACGACTGCGTCAACGGCCAATTCTGGGCACCTGGCTTCTACCGCAAACATGACTGGCGCTGCGTTCGCAAACGCCGCTACTGAGGTCTTCTACACTCATGACGCCGACATCGGAAGCATTGCACGAAGCCAAACTGCAATAATAAATTTAATATATGTATATTTTTGGGGAGCATCAGGACATGCGATTAATAAAGTATCTCATCTTGTTATGTTAGATGTATTGTTGTTTTCTTGCATTTTAGAGGGAGTCTGGGATTGCACGGTGAAGGACACAAGTAATGTTTCTTGCATCAACTGGCGCAAAAATATAAACAAATATATATACTTGACATGCTGTGCTAACGCAATTGTATCAAAATCTTTTCCCCTTCAAATTTTTTTTGTAGAAAACTTCAGAAGAGCGTGTTTGAACACATCGGACATTTGAAACGCTCTTGCCTTCTTCCAAAAAACGTAATTCATCGTTGGTCGTTATACAGCAAGTACGTCGGTTCACACTTTGCTCGTGATTACTGTATTGATAGATGTAACCAAAATAACTAAAAATAATCGCTCAAAAATGTATCGCTAAAATAAAAGGTTTTTTTTTTCCTTTTTCGGTTAAAGTACTACCAACCAACTTTATGCCAACGTCCAATGCACCATACTGAAAAAATTCAAGCTGAAGTTCAAGCCAAGCATCAAAATAGCTTTATTCGTCGGTTACCCGGTTAATATTAACGGGTAAATAAACCCGTTTTTTCAGCTCTCGCCAAAATCTAAAATGCCGCTTGTTTTTATGAACACAAAGTAACGAAGGTTACGAGAAAAACAAAATCAACCGTTTGCCACATTAGGTTACATACACAAGAACCAGTAGAGCGCACAAATGTAGCAAGCTGACAGTTTTTAGTTCCGCGTTCAACCTGTTTCAAATTTTAAGTCCTGATAGCCTTGAAGTTACGCGACGACAATTGAATGGAAACCGAACTCATAAAAAAATGATTTTTTAAGTCCTTGAAAAGACGACGTATGTTGCAACCATAAGCTTTCCTCCAATAAAATTATTCGCACCTGGCTTACTTGGCCAGACTCACCTCGATCCTCGCTGCATAAATCTTGCTATGACTCGCAAGGTTTTGAACAAAATTTTGCTCAATTTGGAAGATTTTGAACGTAAATCTTGAGAAACATTCGCAAAATAAATATTGCCCAAGATTCTCGAGATTGGGAAGATTTTGAAAATTATTCTTGCGCAAGATTCACAACGTAAATCTCGCCAGAGATGGAACATAACATTTCCGTGCTTCTATTTTGTGACTCTATATCGGGTTTACACGCGAAGGAAGCAAGTTTTTTTTATTTGCTAAACCAGTCACATAAACAAATATTTTGAGCGAAGTGATCAGTGCGCATAAGATCGTTATTTTTATCACTGATCACCTCGGGGATCTTTAGTTTATGATATTCGTTTCCTAACCAGGGACTGTGCGCAAACAATTTCGGGAAGTTCAGTGGAATGTACTTTCCCTAAAGACAAAAGCTTATGAATACTAAAACCACAAAAACACGGAATATCGTCCACATTTTTTTTCATCAAATTTTGATTGTTGGTGTGACAACATCTGCGCCATAAAAATACAAGACATTGTGAAACTTTTACGACAAAGGTTCGCAAAACTATCAGTCCTTATTAAAGTGACCCGGCACAAAATAAATAAAAATGAAAAAGGCATGTGAAGAACAAGAGGTTATTTCGTTGTCTTTTTTTTCCATCAAGCCGCAGACGCTCAGCTTTGATCACCCTATATCAGGACATCAGTGAGACCACAGGTTATCAGGGGCGCCCGGCCGTAATTTGACCTTGGCAGCTTTTGCGCCGGAAAACCCCATTTAATTAATCTGGGAGACCTGTCACAAGGGGCGAAGTGTTAAGGAGCACGTGAGGCGATAATTCCGTTGAGTTTTCCCCATCTATCACCTCTTCTTTGTTATATTAGGCTTACACCATTGTCCTCGTTATCGCAACGGAAACTCTAAATTATATATAAACCCGTCGATTAGGTTAGAAGTCTATAGACGATTGTTCAACAGCGATCGAACATCGAAACATGAAGGCGCTTCTGCTCTCCGGTTTTCTGGTTCTTCTGGCAGCCACTGCAGCCTCTGCAAGAAGTAAGACATCTTTGACGCTGATTCTTCCTTTACATTTATTATAGTCGAATACCTTTTCTGCTTTGCCGAAGAGAAAGCCGTTGCTGACTCGGCTTAAAGAACGCGTAAATACTTTGAGTAACACTTGACTAAACACGTGTAGTAGCATCATTTATTCATGCACTAAATCTAACCACAACCATCACTACGATACTATGGTGCCAACCAAGCAGTGCCACGACTGCATCATCGAGACATTCATCATTAACGAGAAAAGAGTCAAAGTACACGCTAGCTGGTGGAAGTCAACCATTTCGTCGTTTACCCTGAGAATGGGTTTTTTTTTTTGAAGAGCAGAAGTAACAGAAAAAACAGACAGGTCGGTCTCTATTGAGACCTGTCTGTTTTTTCTGTTACTTCTGCTCTTCAAAAAAAAAATCCCAGTCTCAGGGTAAACGACGAAATGGTTGACATTCATCATTTTTGCGCATTTTCTATCATCGTCTAATGCAATCACGCACAGTGATTGCGGAGGGATCCTGCGGGGTTTCGGTTCACGGGATTGGTTGAGCCGGGTATATCACACGCACAAAGGAGTGTAGAGCCGTCAGGATATGAGCATTCGTCGCAGCTTTCATGGCGCCATTGAATCACAGCTTTAGTTGCAGTCGTACTTAATCTGAAAGGGAGTGGCGGCACCCGAAAATGCAAACCTTTTTTGATGCAGAAAGAGCGTTTTACCCAATGCGGTGTCGACTTTTTTCCCGCGCTGGCCTCGGGTAAATTCGGTACAAGAACTCAGCACTAAGGCTCTTTTATATATAAGGCGTGGAGAAAACCACTTTATGACGTCACAAGATTGGGTGTACGGAGTCACCATCATTCAAAAACAAACAAATTCAGACCTTACCTGGCATGATTTTTTTTATATATATAATTCGCTGAGCTTTCACAGTCATTCCCCAGTCGCTTGCATTTGCTTTTATTCCACTGTAGGTTTATAATACAGTTTGAGTTCCTGCATAACAAGTGCTTTCTGGAATTACTATTTCTTCAGTTAAATATTTTTGTATGATTTAGCCAAGCGTTTTTGTGACTCTTTCAGACTAGAGTAACGTAAGTTCGCCCCGTTTAGTGCCATGGGCTTCTTGGCTAATGCTAAGTAATGCAACCGACTGCCACATTGCAACTATAAAAAAATGTGGAACTACCTTCTAACATCTTTTTTTAGTATACTGACGTAACCGCGGGACTCCCCGCATAGCTTATGTGCTGCAAGTCCTGAACGGCGCATGGGCCAGCACATAATGTCGCACCCTGTACATATCATACCCACTACAAGTAACGAAAACCTTTGACTGAATACAAACGTGTCGTTTAAAGTGCTTCTAGAGAAATTAGCCTTCATACCTCTCTAAAATAGGTACTCAATGAAGTAAATTTATCTTAAACTTGCTCACGTCATTTTTTTTTATTGTAATCTAGTTAAGGTGTCGAGAAAGATGCATGGTTTGATTTTCGTTCTATCGCTTGCAGTAGCGGCCGACTTGCCCTGGGTGTGTGGCCCCAGAGAGGTCTTCAAGGAATGCGTGAGCAGCAGCTGTGCCGAACTCAAGTGCGGCATGGAAGGCATGCCAGAAGCCTGCACCATGGACTGCGCCAGCGGCTGCTTCTGCGCTCCAGGCTTCTACCGCAAGGGGCACAGAGAATGCGTTCCCTGGAGCGAGTGCCAAATCGAGCCCCTCAAGCCCATGCCTAAGCCTTGAACGAATTTCAAGGCCGTTCCGGACCTCTCTTGCTAGAGTGAACTGCTACTAAATAAAACCTAGATTGTAGGCGAAGCAATTTTCGTGTTTTTGTGTTTTATTCGCGAATTTGTGCGTAGCGAGGCGTAGAAACTGAGGGCAAGGTCGGTTTGTTTCCCCAGAATCACTCAAGATGTGGCAGATTATTTTTGTTCAAAGAAGAGGACAAGAAATTCAACTTCTATGGAAGTCTCCAGGACGTTTAGGAACAGAGGCTAGAATTTCATTTGAAAGGACTGCACAGCATGCTTTTCCGTGTCAAAAAAGCTATTCCCTCGATATCATTTTATCGACATGCGCGTTTATCCCGACATCGAACTCAGGCTATGCAATAAGGAGGTTGGACTTGAAAGAATGACAAATTTCCATACTATAAAAATAAAGGGAACGTGGGGTGTGCACAGGGAAGGATAAGCACGAATCATGTTTAATTGCAGCTCTTCTATTGCGAATAAAAGTGTTTTGACGTGATATGAATGTTTAAATTACCATTTATGAGTTAATGTTCACAAAAATGCACGAGAAGAGAAATACAAAGAACCATGACAAACATGCAGAAATTGTTTCTGAGCAAACTTTCACATATTCCTAAAACTACAGCGCTTCAGCAAAAAAGAGACTGCTTTCGACAACAAGCCGATAGCCACGGCTGATGCCGGGGCGGAGCTGGGAGAGGGAGACTGAAGATAGGAAGTATCTCATATTGTTCTATCGCTGTAGGCGTTTGCTACCACTATCGTTGTTGTGGCATGTGCTGCAAATAAGCTGATTTACATTGTTATCTTTATTATTTGTTCAATACTTATCCGCAAAGAAACTGAGCGAGTACAGAAGACGAGAGGTCAAGGAGAAGTCAAAACGCCGAGCTCTTATTTGAATGATTAGTGAGACAACCCAGAGCCGTATAAAGAAAGAGTTTCGTGAACTTGAGTAGGGGCAGAGCCATGGCGTGCACCAGACGCAGAAAGAGGAATGCACATTCTATCGTGGCCAACCACAAGCCGAAAATAATCTTCTAGAGGTGGTTGCACGAAAGAGATTTTGAGTGTGCGTAAGAGTTAAATGGAGCAAATCTTCGTGGTTGAAATTGGGTTACACGTGATGTTTCGATTATGAAGATGCAAACAAAGTTAAGACGTGAATGTGCCGCTCAAACATAGTTTTCGTACAACGGAGTCTGACTGCTCGGACGGCAGATTCCTGGCCCTCGACGCCTGGCATAGCAATCAAGTCAATCGTTCTGGCAATCAGGTACTTAATAATTTTTATACCCTTAACTTTTTATATGCCCTCCACCATAATTTTTATGACCGTGATTCAAATATCACGTCCACGATATATTCAGTCGCCGTGATTTACTCCGACCCACAATATTCATTTTGTTGCTCGCGACCTCCGCGACTTCTCGTTGGCCACATTCGAAATGCCTAATGTGCCCTGTAACAGGCCCAGCCGCTCTTGGCCAATGACTCCAACTCATATGCCTCGTATACTTTCCAATGTATGGCCAAACTCTCTGTGTATACCTAAAACTAGCTGTCCACTGCACTCGTCGAGCGTGTTTGAATGCAAGAGGCAAACGCTGAACGCCGGCGTTCCGCGTTCTAAAGCGTTCGAGGAGTGCAGTGGAGACAAAGGCTTTAGGCCTAATCGCCAGCGGCGTACCAACCACTTTTTGAGTGTGGGGGGGGGGGGGGGGGGGGCAAACCAGCACACCCCCCCAGGGCAGAGGGGCGGTGCCCTTGGTATCCCTCGGGCGCCGCCGGCCAGTGTTTGCCCTGCCAGTGTCGGCTGTTTCAGGGGGGGGGGGGGGGGGGGGGGGGGGCACACATGTTTTACCCCCCCACTCTGAGAACTGGGGGCGGGGGGGGGGGGGGGGCAAGCGCCTCTCTTGCCCCCCCCCCCCCCCCCGGTCGGTACGCCCATGCTTGCCGCTAAGCATTCGAACCAGAGTTCGGCGTTTTGGTGTCCCCGCGCGGTCTCGTCACCTCTTTCCCCCCCGTTTTTCGGCGCATATCGCCATCTGGCATTTCAGTACCAAAGGGTACAAAACTCCGCACCACAAGGTAATTATTACGTTTATACGTACAGCTCCATTTCACGAGTCTAATCGCAGCAAATGCTACGAACGAATAGAGGCACACAACAAGCGCAAAAAGTGTATTGTCATGGCGCTCTTCTGCTTCGTGTGTATCCCATTATCAGCTAAACCAATCACGTTATGTACACAAGCCTTAAGTTTTAGTTTTACTTTTTTTTTAGCCCGTGAATGGTTTTGCCGCTGATAGCAAACGCACAAAAACGGCGGGGGCACCGATGACGCACTTTGGGCTCTGGTTGATTGACCGATTGGTGTATTTAATCAGTCTCGCAAGATGGCAACGGTGCTTTTGTTCCGATACTCGTGTTGGAAATCAGGGACACTGGTCTCAGGTCAGCCGCTTCTTCAGGACTGTTACGGAAGAACCCGTCGGCGCTGAAGCATCCCGTCTTGCAGTCCTTGGTACACTGCGTTCAACATTCACAAAATTTGGAGCACGGTTCGGCGCAAGAGGTTTTCTGGCAGTGCTCAAGCACCCCGCCAGGAGCGCACTACGCCAGAGGGTAGGGGAGAGACGGGTAATCTGCAATGGAACGAAACGTAAAGAACCCGAAAATCAGTACTACGCTATATATGTTAAGTACGCCCTCCCGCGCATGAGTCGTAGAGCCACTAGATATGTAAGCTTCTCCTAGACTTTAGACCATTGCAAGCATGGCGCCTCATTGGTGCCCCACGCGGTAAATGGGCAAAAGCTCACCAGACAAAAGCTCACAGGACAGAGGCTCTCGATACCGAAGCTCACCGGAGAAAAGCTCACCCGTTTTTTCACAAACTGGGACAAAAACAGATTATTTATGTTGCTACCCGGGCGAAACACGGGCTGGGATAAAGTGCGGACGCGATGGACATTACACCACTTTTAGGAGAACTGATACCCCATCCCATGCAAAGGTGTCGACAGGTAAGTCACAACAGGCATAGGAGCGACGATTTGGGACCAACATTTAGGTCACCGAAACTCAGTGGAGCTTATTAGACCAAGCTTGCTTGACTCAACGTATGCCGGAGCACCCTTTTGCCACACCCAAAAAATATCGCGAACCGAAATTTTTGAACCCGAAGAGTGACCGAAGAAGCGAAGTCACCCTTTAATAACCTCGCTTTTTTAATGCGCTGATGTCAAGTAAACGCGCACATAAAGGTTAAGCACAATGTCTCTTCATTTCTAATGCATGGGTTTTCTTGTTGTTCGGGGTAATATTTGAAGTCAATCGCTAATAAAATTAAATTGTTTCCCTTATTGTGCGTCGTAAATGTATTTGAACTCAAGGATTATCTCAGGGTGAAGTGAAAGGGAAACTGAAGCAAAACAATAATATTCAAACCCTTGAGTTGCGAATTTCTCGAAATATTTTGAAGGAACGGGATTTGGATCTTACGGACACGTACGTACAAGACCGATGACCAATTTAGAAAGCTGAGCGGGATTTTGGATTGGCTGGCGCTTTTTCCACCACAGCTTGTGACCGAAGGACTAACCAACATCAGGGAAAGGTTTACCGGTGACATCGGTGATATGATGGACTACTTTGATTGCATGTATGTCAAGGGCCCCTTCCGTTATGCTTCTGCTCCTTCTGTGGTGGAACCCAGTGCGAACTCTTCCCTTTGCACGACTGTGCGCCGACGACGACCGCGGTTTCCTCAGGAAAGGTGGAATAAGTACGACGCCACTCTTCAAGATAAAGAGCGGGCGAACAACACCTGCAAAGGATCGAATACTGGGTTCCAGACGCTTGTCAGCCACGTTCATCCAAGCGTCTGGAGGCTGGTTGAATGCCTACACAAGCCCAGAAAGGTGAGCCCTCAGTGAAGCGGGTGCGAAAAACCACACTGCGCTTGCAGAATCGTCTGAAAAATATTTGCGAGGGGTTCCAGGTACACCGAGATTTACCTAGACTGCTGGTAGAAAACTGTAACCGCTTCTAAACAATCGATGAATGAATTTGTTTTTACACGAATCAACAAACCCTGCGCCTGTCAAATTTAATTTATCGTTGCATTTTAGTGTCGCACACAAGCTCCTAAGTCGTCCCCACTCATGGTAAGACCAACATGAAATTTTCTCCTGGCGATGTTTTGTCCGGGTCTGTAAATAAATGGGTGAGCTTTTGTCCGGTGATCTTCTGACCGGTGAGCCTTTGTCCGGTGATCGTCTGTCCGGTGAGTGTTTGTCCGGTGAGCCTTTGTCTGGGATTCGCCCCACGCGTGCTAGCATGTGCAGCGCGCGAGTGAACTTAGCTTTGACGAGTTTGCGATTGCACGTACTTGCCCGCATGAGCAGAAAGATGGCGGCTGCCAGATTCCCTGCTTGCAATCGTCTATAGGCAGTCATTCTCCCAGTATCTTGGGGGCGCCGCCATTTCGGTGCTTACCGCAGAGCGGGTGCAAATTGGCAATGGGTGCGCTTCAAAAACGAGACTTGCTGAGATTTAAAGACGTCGTTAGGGACCTGAGGCGATATTCTCTGCTTCTTTCACAGACTGATGTCACAATCCTAGAGGACGCAAAATCGTATTCTGCGATTTCAGGTAAAGCTTGAGTCAACTGGCAATGATGATTTCTAAGCACTATAGATATGTAAAGAGTTTTTACTCTGTAGCGTATACAGCGGCACTAAACAGTTGTATGCAATGGTCAGATTGTTAATATTGAAGATTCCAGATCAAAATGTGAAAAATATATCATAATTTATAAAACCACTAGATAACATTCGTTTGCTTGAAATTTTATTTTTTTTATTTAAATTTGATTCATTTCATTCAAATTAAATTTATTTGATTTATAATCAGAGTAATTTTATTTTATTCAGTTTAGGTAGAAAATAGTGATTGCTTATCACTAGATGTATATTTCAAGAAGGCACACGGATAAATCAATTCATTCTATCACTGATAATAATAATGGAAAAATAATTACATTGAGTTTAAAGTACAGTTCAATAAAGAACGTTGTTTTTGACTTGATTGCAGATGGTCATTACTCC